TTTGTGTGTGGGTGGGTTGCATCTGCATAAGCAATGAGTTACTGAGAAAATGATTGACCACAGGAATACGTAAATGTATCCTTGCTAAAAGTCTGGTGAAACCACTGCATTTACATCAGATAAATTTGGTTCAACTGTGAACAGAATGCATGCATCCCACTCTGCAGTGGTCATTTAACTTAAATTGTATACATTGATCTGTTTTTCCCCTGATGTTAGCAGAAAAAAATGACTGGATTACATATTCAGATGCAAAGCTACAGAAAAAAATGACTTTGACCTATTTAGGTTTTCTAGTCTTGCCTCTTAAGAGGGGTTATTTTTTGTTTGAAACACTGATTGTTTCTCATTCCTCAAATGTCGTCTTAAGCACTAACATCCTTCTTGCCCAAAACCCAATGGGATGTGCTTGGCATTCAGTCCCTTGCAGGCTGCTGTTGTTACACACACCTCAGTCCTCCCAGGGATGGGTATTCTGGCAGCACTGCTTGAAGTCATGGCACCTGTGCCCAGGAGCAGTTCTCATATTCAGTCCTTAATGTACTTAGATTTTATTTTCATAAGTATTTCTCTACAAAATTGTCTTATCTAGCAGGCCTCTTCAGCCTCTTTACCAATCTGATGTCCCTCGTTACATCAAGATTCCCACTCCTGTATCTCTAGATTTCCACCCGAAGACAACGCCTTGTCCATGTGTCCCTGTCCTCACCCTATCAGTGTGCAGTACTGTGTGAGATCCTTGCTGACCACCTCACCAAGGCTTGACACAACCACACCACTTGCGTTGTGCTGCCTGTGCACAGCACTGCTGTGCTAAAAGAGCAGATGTGTCAATCTGCTCTGCTTTGACTAAGACAAACTGTGACCCTGGTGAAACCACCAAAGGTTCCTATCGATGCTGGGGCCCTGGGGCCATGACCTGCAGGTATTGGAAGCAGGCACAAAGGTGTACACCACAGATTCACTGATGCTACCTACTGGGCTTTGCAGCAGCAGCAGGTCACACACCATCAGGTAAGCAGGGTCCCAGGGCACAGACTCCTTAGGGTTTTCCCCAGGGAGGTACAGCAGAACGTGGTGCTGCCACAGTTTGCCTTGTTAGCTGCCGTGCCAGCTGCTCAGAGAAAGTACAGTTCCTCAGTCACTCTGTCTAGGCTTGCTTTTGCTCTTTCAAGAAAATATTAACATTATTCCATGCTGTTTTTTAGCAGCTCTTCAGGGCTGGGAGAGAGCTAGTTCTGATACCTCTGTGCAAGAAGGACTAGTAATTAAAAGTATGAGTCTGGTGCAGCTGGGTCAAAATGCATTAAAACAAACAATTAAGAAAATCAGAATACTCTCCTGCCCTCAGCCCTCTCCCTGCTTCACTTTAGGGGAAAGGTCTCTCTTGACTATACCTGCTCTGAGGCTACATTGAGGCTCTTTGACTCTGCTCTGAGACTTGCTGACACTACTGATTCAACACTGTATCAAGACTCTCCAACTGTGATCTGAGACCTGGAGCCGAGCGGGAGCATCTTGACACAGTGTCAAAACAGTAGTCTGAGCACATGGACGCAGCACTGAAAGGCTTTTGTCTCCCAAATGAAAAGGAGTGGGATTATTTTCATCTCTTTTTTTTTCTTCTTTTTTTCTTTTTTTCCCCATAATAATGGTAGCTTTCTATTAAAAGAAAAAAGAAAGAAAACACGGTTTATTTGCAGGGAGAAAGAGGCACGTGCCCCCCCCTTTTGTTTGAAAAAGCAATGTTGCAGACAATGACTTCACTGTACAATGCACTTTGGTAAAGTTCTTTGGCTTTGGAGAAGTAAAAGGCTGTATTTGAAAATTATTCCAATAATCCTTTAATGATACTGCACATCGAGCATCTGTATCTGTGTACGTGTTTGGTTTTTATTTTGGAATTATGTTGTTGTATGGTAATATCAAACAGATATTTGATCTGACTAAATATTTGGGACACAATATTGCCCAGTGCTCTCCCCATAGAATTCTAGTCAAGAGTACCCATGAATTCAGACATTTGAGTGTTGACCAATGTTCACCAACAAAAAATAAATTAGTTCAATTGTCAGAATGTGACAATGCCTGCTGAGACAGGTTTCTTTTCTGTAAATGAGATGGTCTTAGCGTTACATGGACTGTGACTTTATAACAGGTTGAACTCATTTATTTAAAAAATGAGAATACAGTTTAATTTATTTTTCCTTGCTGGGCTCATAGGTACCAAGAAATCAGCAAAACAATCTACTGAATGTTTTATAGATGGTGGTGTTTTTGCTGAATGTTAAATGAAAATAATCCATTAAAATAAAAAATGAAAATTCTTTTTGTTTCATTTTCCCTTGGGCCTTCCCAAAAGGAGGTCGACACCGACCCAGTTTGAAAAATACTTACCTAAGCCAATCACTGCCCAGCATGTATTCCCTTGAGCAACTTGAGTGGGCATGATGCCATCTGAACAGATGGGCATTACTGTAGGCAACCAAGAGACCATGCATGTGAATCAAGTATGGGTGTTTACAGCATCATTTCCCTGATGAGAATGTCAAAATGGCAGCCCAGTCCGAGCCTCTGGTTAAGTTGCATTTCACTAATTCATCTCTAAAATGGACAACTTTACAAAATAAACAATTAACAGTGAGTTGGGTGGTCAAGATTTTTTACTTCCTAGAATTGGGCTGGAAACAGACATGCTGAAAATAATGTGTGAGATTGTGTATGCACTGGGCAGGTTTGCTGTTTCGTAAAATGAGGGCAAAGAAGCCCCCAGACACAATAAACAAGTAAGTGTATGCATTCTACTGGTGAACCCTACCAAAAGAAAGAACTTCTCACATATTTTTTTTTTGAAAGAAAAGTTATTTCAGACCAAAGTTGAAATAATATAAAATTGGACTTCTTATATAATTTGAGTAATGTGCCAGTGCAAGGTCAAATCATTAAAGTTACACAAATTGAATTAGGACTTCTTTGCTGTCCTGAGGAGAGAGATGCATAAATTCTGCAACATTTTTGAGCTCAGAACTCAGTGTAACTCCTATATCTATTACACTTAGTGATTTCTACAGAATTATCTCTGGAAGTTATCTGACTAGCTATTACAAAGAGGTCTTAAAGAAAAGAAATAAAGACTGGAATTTGAATATCAAATCAGTGACTATCTCATCTACTTTAACAAGAGACTATGATGTATGAATCCTGGAGACTTCATTTAGGGTGTGCATCTGAATTACTTTTATTCTTTTGTCTTTTCTTGTGATAATTGGTTGTATTTTATTTTCGCCAACTTCTGTATGTTTGTATAATACTAATTGTGTGTTTACTTTTCAATATCTGATTTCTGATTAGATTATCTGCAAAACATCTTGCTTTCCTGAGTGTCTAGTCAAACTGAATATGAAAAACTGAGATACTGAACCACCAATACCAGGTATGAAATACTTGGGTACATACCTTTTTCAGGAAAAAATGCAGTGGTACACATCTTATTGATAACAGCTAAAACTCCCTGTGCTTTAATTTGAATTATTTTTTCCTGTTAGATTTGTTTGGATTTTTTTGTTTGTTTGTTTGTTTAACAATCTAATGTGTGCTTGAGAGATTTGTAGGAAGTACCTAATGAGTTTTACTGCTAATTTCATACCTTAGTTGGAGAATTCTGGCAATGAAAAAAAGAAAAAGAAAAAGAAGCAGCTTTTCAAAAATGAAAGATGAAAAGAAAAGTAGTGCTTCCCTAATGCTTAGTTAGAAAAAAAATGTATCCAGAGTGTTCCTCTTTTTCTGTATGCAAAATATTTCAATATTTTCCTCTTTCATTTCAAGCTATTGAAACCAGTCTTTTCATTTGCCTTCTATACTGTGTTATGATGGCTCTGACTTCTGCCATTGGACTGGCTAAAATGCTCTGTTACCTTGTATTGCATCTTCTAGGGAGAGAAATGTTTATTTTCTTGCTCGATGTCATGGTAACAGGAACACTTCCTTTATATTATATCTAAGTTTGCTTTTTAAATACAAGCAGGGCAGGTTGGAGACTGTGTATATCCCATGTGGAAAGACAGCACTAGCTTTCTGGGTGCCAGCACATACTCCCAGCTGTTGCTTTTGCTCTAGGGTCACAGATGCATCTCACGCTGAATCAGTTAAAAATGCAGTAGCTATGCTTAGGGACACAGGCTTAAATTTTCAGGGCCTGATTATTCTGTTAGTTTCATATGTGCAATTCCCACTGAAGTCGGCAGAAGTAGTGCATGCAGACCTGACAGGCTTATGTGGAGCACAGCACTGCAAAGGATGTAATCATACATCTGATTTCTTGAGGTACTCGAGGTCTAATTCTCACCCTCTTCCATGATGTGAGGATTTACCACAGCTTTTAAGGATTTAGATGGATCCAAAAATATTAAGTTACTTGTGATATTTTGTTTTTAATGATCAGAGGAAGAAAAAGAGATCTGAAGAATAGGAGCTTACGTTGGACAAGTCCAGAAAGAAAAATGCATTCTGTAGTGCTCTAATACTGAGCTAAGAGTAATAGAATTTCACGTGAGGAAAACAAATGTGAAACTGAGGGACGAAGGCAAACTCATGAGAGGAACGGTTACTGGGTTACAGGCTGCCGGCCCCGAGCCGAGGTCCGTGCCGGGTGGGACACAGGTGCCCGCGGTGAGGCATTTCCTGAGCTCGCGGCCGGAGATGCTGTGCGACGGGCATCCAGGTGAGCGATCACCGCGCTCTTCTCCTCTGGCAGCCCTGCGTGGGCACAGCCGAGTCTGGAGGCGGCACGTGGCTTTCCCCGGGCTGACGGGGGATGCCTGGCTCTGACAGAGGAGGTGAGCGTGGGCCTGAGGAGCGGTGGGCAGGAAGGCGTGGCGGGTCGCCCGCAGCCAGCTCCCTCGGGGCGCCGGGCGCCGCCACAGCCGCGGCTGGGGGAGGCGGGAAGCGGCTCGCGCCGGCGGAGCGCTCGTGCCCTACGGCGCTCCCAGCGCCAGCGGGGCCGCCCGCGCGCGGCTGTGGCACCTGTGGGGCGGGAGTTGGAAACGGCCGTTGCTGCGCCCTCGCCTCGCGCCTTCCCTCACGTTGAGGAGAGGCTGCTGTGGGATGGCGGACGCTCGGTCCTCTCGTACCTTACGTTGGTTTCACCCGGTAGAGCAGGATTTGATGAACGGTCTTAACGTAATACGTATTTTAACGTGTGGTTTTCGTTCTCGAAGAGACGTTTCGTAGGAAAGCGCCTAACAAGGTGAGGCGTCGAAAGTAATTGCGTGCGTAAAGGAAAGCGTGGTTACACAACCACGTTCGGTACTGCAAAGTGCAGTGAGAAGCACTGCTATCTGTATCCCCTATTCTGATCTACGTCTTGGTGCTGTCTAAATTGATTTCTGCTGGCATGCTTTTCTGTCCACGAGGAAAACTGTGTTTGAAGCTGAGGGGACAGGCTGAACGTTTGGTGTTTCCCCACGGAAAAATAAATAAATTGGTAGAGATTCAACCAAATATTGCTTTCCTTGTCCTGATGATAATGTTGATCGGCCCTCTAATTTTATTGGATTACCAACACATTTTAATTTTGTTTTAAATAACTCTATAATTAATTACCATTCTAACACTTGGCAGAGATTTTTTTGTGAACAATCTTAACGCTGCTTTCATTTCCTTGTTGTACAGTCTTTTTTTTTTTTTTTTTTAGATTTTTTTTTTTTTTTCCCCTGGTCTTATATTGCCTGTTTGCCCTTCAGGTTGCACAGTTTATAAAATAGGATTTCTCTGCTTCTGACCACTGATCTACAGTCTCTTTTCTGTCCTCTAATCTGCTGTTCTTTAGTACTTTGATTCCTCATATTCTTGGGTGGCCTTTCTTATCCCTCTCTTTTGGGTTTAGTGTTTTCTCTAGCTTTTCCGAGGCTGCTTTCTCCATGTTCATTGTCTGTTTGGCATCAGCATGATCTGTAGCTTCTCTCTTTCTTCCTTTCATCCTTCACAAGATCTCTGCTGCATATGGTGGCCACCTTTCTTTAAAACTGCTTTAGCAAAAGTGCTTTCAAAAACTTAAGCAATCTACCGTCCGTCTTCTTGCCTGTTCTTATCTTCAGTGTTCCCTCCCCACTATGCTCCTAGTTTGAGATCTGTCAACTCTGCGTGATTAAATCAGTGTAAATAGGCTTGGCAAACAGTTTTGGGTTCTTATATATTGGCTCTCCCCGGGTCCTCAGATTTTTTTCCCCCTCCCTCTCTCCACAAGAAAACCTGCTCTTTTCTCTCTCAGCACCATCTCTTGAGCTCTGTCTCTTTCTCTGCTTTTTCTGTCTTTGTCTGTTGTCTCCAGGGCCTCCACTGTCACATCATACAGTTCTTCCATCATATCTGGCATTTCTGACCTGATCTGCCTCTCTAGCTCGCCTGCATTTTCTCATTAGTTACAGGCATCCCCTACTGATTCTGTCAGACTTTTTTTTTCCTAAGGTATGTCCTACAGTTTTTCTAATTTTTTTTTTTTTTTGCTATGACTTTTAAAAGTGTCCTCTAACAACTAAAATGAGCTGGTGTGTGTGTGTTTGTGTGTTTGCTTGCTTCCTTTTGCTCCCCACTGCTGTACCCTCCCCACTCTGTACCCCCCCTTTTTTGTCCTTTCATTTTTGCATATTGACTTTCTGGAACCATTCTTAAAAATCTTCATGCTGTCCCATTCATAGTGCTTAATACCAGTGCCATGGGTGTTTCTAAAACTACTCATTAGTAGTTAGCCCACCTTTATGGTATGAGCTAGCATGTTAAAAGTTGTCAAATGGCCAATGCCATGCCCTTTTTAGGTCTTTTTTTGTTGTTGTTCCTAATATGGATTGTTCCAAGTATGCTTCACTAACAGTTTATACTGTCAGCGTGTTGCCTTGAGTTGCACAGCTTTAGCAATCTTCACCTACTGACATTCTCTTTCCTAAGGCCAAGTTTCCCAGGAGATTTTCTCATGTGACACAGTCCTCTGTAAACTAGAGCACTGAAATCTCCTAGCAAAATTAGTTCATTAGGCTTCAGTTCTAGGTGACCTCACTGTGAAACAGCCTCTAAAATATATTTTATGTGTCCAGGTTGTCTAGGAAATACCATTAGTATCATTCTCACGGTAACTGAGTAGGTAAGCTGTCTTATTATCACACTGCCTGCATTAAATTCAGGCTAATTTAATAGATGGTAAACTCTGATGGTAATATGGATTCCATGGCATTCTTCAGTTCCATAAACTAGATTCCCTATTCTTAATGTGTGGTGAATTTTTTTTTCTTTTTTTTTTTTTGAGGAATACTATCATCATCTTCTTTGTGAACGTTTTTCCATTTTTTAAAGTAATGCACACAAGAATAGTACAAATTAAAGCAATATATTCAGTGTAGAGTGTTGTTAAAGTAGGAAGTTGCCATTTTTTTGGGTCAAAATATATCTTCGAGCTAATTCTTCACTCTTTTCATATTGCCATGCAACTTGTTACAAATCTGTGTTGTTTGATGCTGGAACATTAAGATTCACAGAGATGAGCATAGTATAAATTCCTGAATAGCGAGGCTGTGCAATTAACTGTTTTTCACGACAACAGAGAAACAGAAGGGTCAGTATTTGTATTGTTTTAATAAAGTTTCTTGTAAGATATTCACTTTTCTGAAAGCAAGAGAACTGTAACAAACTAGAAATACCACTCTGGGTTTTGAATAGGCAACATATTAACCGTGGATGGAGGAGGTTGGGATAATGGTAACACTTCTGATACAGAGTACATTTTCTAACTTGAGGTGCCCATTATATTGGAGTGATTTAGATTCTATTGTTGGTCATGCCCTGCATATGCTTTGTGACTATGGATTTATTTATTTTCATCCCTATAATGCAAATAGTATAAGCCAGGAATTAAAATTGAATTTTTTTTTTTATTTTTATTTATTTATTTTGTGTAGGCATGAGTTTTACCAGTGGCTGCTGTACATTGCTTTTGTTAGCTAAGTTAAGTTAGCTAAACTCTTCAGAGCTAATCTTTGCAGATTATATGCAGCAGCAACACTGATGTTTGTTCGGGTTGCTTTTTCAAACCGTATTTACAGCTTATCATGTCTCTTCTAAGGCTTGTGAAAGCTAGAGCTTCCTAATTCTGTTGTCTATCAGAACCACCTCGGCTTGTTGGACTTCCAATAACCTGAAGGTGGTGCTGCAGGTGACAAGGAGGTGTCCCGCTCACACTGATCTCTGAATTGCAGTGCCTCGGCCAGCTGCTCCCTCTGCTCCTCCCACCAGGACATCTGAGATGTTGTGGTGTGTTGTCACTGCTTGCAGAGGGCTGAGTAGGAATGCCTTCTTCTACTGTTTTATAAACCATGTAAATTTTCTTCTGAAATATGGCATACCATATTGCTTACTGGGTTCTCCTCTGGGACACGTTGTGATCCTGTTGCGAACAGGAGATTTACATGCAGTGCTGAGAAGAAACTGTGGGGTGAAAATAAGACAATCTTCTTGGTGTTCTTTAGGTATGGGAGAGAGATTCAGCTAAAGTTTTTTTTCACTGATTGCAAATATTAATATATAAGAAGTTGCCATCTAACTGCAGTGTACTCATTGCTTTCATGAGTAGCATAGTTTTTTTAATACTAAAATAATTCTATTCATTTACCAAAAGAAATAGCAAGAAGAAATAAATGGTTTGACAGCCTATTGTCACATGCAAAATCCTTGTTTTATTAAAAGAACCCTGTGGGGAGGAAGCATTTTATCTTAATCTCACCGAGTTCTGTTAAGCAGCAAAGAACCACTACTTCTGTGGCACAGAAGTCCACAGATCTGGCTCTGCGGTGGGTGTCTCCTGTGGAGATCTTGCTCAAGGTTGGAAAAGCTCACACACTGAATCAGTGGGACCCAATTATGAGCTCTTTTCCCCCCACCATACTGACTTGTGTGTGTGCACATGTGCACACCACTGCAGCAGCAGCCACCAATCAGATACACACTCCTGGCTGAGAGGAAAGCCAGAGCTTTTTAATTTAGAGAGCTCAGTTACTTGTGGGGATTATGTTTAGAGTTAAATAATAAAAAATATATATACCTGCTTTCACTTTAATGTATGACTGTGTAAGAAGCAGCTGTTACTACATCTTCAAACGATGTATTTTCAGTGATAACTGTTGCTCCAGCAGATATTCAAACATTCCTGAAAACCCCCAAACAAATAAAACCTCTCTTCCCCTGGTCCAAGCACAAACATAATGTGGTTATAGCCAGTTACTCGTCTTTATAAGTAGTCTGGTTCCTGCAAGTGTAAGTAGCCCTTGGGCTGCAGCAGGGGCTTGTGGTCTCCAGAGTGCCCTTCCAGCAGTGTGCACCCTGAGCTTCCACTTGCTGTGCACCTGGCAGCAGGGCCTCATCCTGAGGCGGAGTTATCACTGTCATTCTGGTTTTGTCAAATACAGCTTTTTTTTTTTTTTTTTTTTTTTCCCCCTTTTAAATTGGATTCTACTACATGTGCGAGGAGTTCAGTGAAAACATTCAAAATCATTAAGCATATAAAAAGGGAACTGAAAATTAAAGGAATAATAATATAGGTAGACAAAACGACGAAAAAAATGTATGCTTGTATCTCCTGTTACACAGTAGAAAATGATTTAGAATACAGTGTGTAACTTTTGTGGCAGAGAATGCTCATTTTTGTCTCTCAAGCTCTCAGAAAAATTGCTTATAGATCATTAATGTTGCTGCTACCAAAATCTCTGTGTTCTAAGCATTGGGTGGTGTCAGTCAGTTTCTTTTCCATTGAACTTACTGTCCAGGGGTCAGCACTTAGAGTGCCTTATTATGGTAAAGGACTATATTTGGGGAGATTTGGTTTGTTTTTCTAGCAGTGTTCCTGCAAGACCTTAATTGAGACCATTAAACTTTAACTGTCAGACTGTTGTTTTTTCAAGTATTGCCAGTACTTTTGGGTATGAACAAGCTTTAGGAAGATCATCCCAGCCTTGAGGCTATTGCCCATGCTTTTAGTTGTATATCCTTGTCTTTTTTTGTACATGGAGATGTTTCAACTTTGATTTTTTGTTGTTGTTGTTCTTTTTTGTTTCTGTATGTGTTTGTGTCTATTTGCCAGCTAATGGAAAATGTTCCTCTCCTCTTTTGAGAGTGGTAGAAAAGATATTTTGAGATATCATTGGAATTAAAGTGATTCAAACACCCCCCTGGGCAGCCCATTCCAGTGCCAGACCACTTTCTCAG